TGAATTTTAGGTGTGCGTCCAGGAGCCTTATCAGCGGCGCACGAGATGCAGTGATGATTTAAGTGTCGTTGCATTTTAATGTTTTTGTTTATCCAGTTGAACCCACAAGATGTGCCACTGCTGCATATATCATTCAAAATATTAGAGATATATAGAAGCTCAATGCGGAGAAGATATTGTTTGGGTTAAAACCAAGCCATTCACACAGAACGCATTTGGCGCATTCTTGAGACGCACAACTATGACTGAGGCATGAAGAGAAAGCCATGAAAAATTAAAAGAGGTTCAACTTTTAGAAAACATGTCACGAGAATTAGTGGGGTTTTTATTCCTTTCCACTGTGTCTCATATGTTTCTAAATGCAATTGTGTGATCGGTGATTGCTCCTGGAGGCCCAGCGTCCTGCAGAGTCCAGCTCCATCACACCTGCCTGGAAGTTTCTAGCGAGTCTGAAGTCCTTGTTTAGTTGGTTCAGGTTTGATTAGGGTTGGAGCTGAATTCCCTGTGGTTTTCAGAAACCGGTTTGGACATCACTTGATTTATAAAAGCCATGGATGGTAAAACATTTCTACAAATGGAGTATAAGCTTTGTTTATTATATCATTTACTAATTATTAGGGCTGGGCAAGTTAACGCGTCATCGCGTTAACACATTAATTAATAAACGCTGACAATTATTTTATTGTGCATTAAGGCAGTTTTTATTATTATTTTGAAAGTCCGTTGCTCACTGGCTCTGAATACACATACAGACAAAACCATGGGTCACAGAAGGGGTGGGATGTTGATCGGTGCTGGTTTGGGATGGGCGTCTCAACCAATGAGAGCATTTGGGGAGGCCCTAACACCGTGTCTACACCGGACGCGAGCGGCGTGGCACGACGACATACTATAGGACCCATTATAATAAGTGATGCTGTCTACACTGGATGCGGCGCGACAAATTCCCGACAGTAAACTGCTGCCTCGTTCTATCTACGACGTACTGACACAAAATTCAAATGATTTGCAATGGTTGCTTTGTCGCGTGACGCGTCCAGTCATTGTAGACAGACTTTAGCTGTTGCGGTGCGGCATGACAACTGTTGCATCCGGTGTATAGGATCACAACGAATGACAGCACGTATGATTTGTCGTGTTGCGCCGCATCTAGTGTAGACCGCATCACTGATTATAATGGGTTATGAAAAGAAGATTTTAATTTGATTACATTAATGTTTAAGTTGAGATTTACAAGAAATATTTTAACTGTTACAATGTAAAGGGAATACTGCTGTAAAAAAGCACCTTAATTGTTTAAAGTGTTTGCAAACCAAATAGTATTGCACTTGTTCATACAGCAGTACTTTTAAAATAAACGTGAGCAATACAGTACTTTAGAATTCATTATTGAATTTTGCGCATAATGCGATTAATCGCAGAAAAATTATGCCATCGCGATTTAAAAATTTCATTCATTGCCCAGCACTACTAATTATATATTAGTTTATACTTATTTTTCCCAGCCCTAGTTATAAGTGATTCAAACTCTATGGTGTTTGTGTGGAGCATCTGAAACATTGATCTGACTTGAGCACACGCTTCTGTCTTTCAGGGGTGCAGAGTGTCACCAAGATCTACAACTACTATAAGAAGTTCAGCTACACGCCGTACACGACGGTGGTGATGGGCGCCTCCTTCAGGAACACGGGGGAAGTGAAGGCTCTGGCGGGCTGTGATCTGCTCACCATCTCTCCGGGGCTGCTGGGAGAGCTCAGCCAGGACCACAGCGCAGTGACGTGTTCCCTCACGCCGCAGGGAGGTGAGCATCAGAGCCACACGCGTCCTTCGCGCGGAACCGTCCGGTTTGAAATGATTTCAGCAAACCGATCTCTCTTTCAGCGAAGGAGTGTGATCTGGAGAAGGTGCACCTGGATGAGAAGAGCTTCCGCTGGCTGCACAATGAGGACCGCATGGCTGTGGAGAAACTCTCCGACGGGATCCGCAAATTTGCTGCAGACGCCATCAAACTCGAGGCCATGATTAAGGCACAAAAACGCATTTTCTTAATTTGTGTCTGAGTTTTTTTTATTTTTTATTGTGATCACATTTGCAGAATGCAGAAATAATGCATGTTTGTGAAATGTGATCTGAACGCTTTTGTGACTGTCGACAGTCTCTTAACTCTGTTGGGTGATTTGAAGCCCCTTGATGAGGCTGAGTTATGAAACTAGTATTATCGCACAGTTTGTGTAATGTAGTATTATTAAATGCATTGGGTTAGTCCATAAATTATGATATGTTGTCTTGTATGCTGCACTTCTGTTTGCACTTTATTTAGGGTGATGTGGGCCTCAGCACGTGCAGCATCATCTTTTTTTCCTCTGTTTGTTTCAGGAGAGGATGTTTAATGTGAAGAACGGCCAGTAGTGAAGCAGAGAGACACATTCGAGGACCAAACCCTTCACTCCCGCTCTGATTGGCCACTTTAGCTGCACTCTCTGGGCAGAAGATGTGACTGACTTCAGTCTTAAGAAAGAATACAGTGTGCTGTGTGTTTATAAGCCATTCACATTTTAACAGGAAAATGATCCTTTGAGCCTTAATGGAGTGCTCAGTTTAAACTATAAACCCTGACTAACTCTCAGCAGACCAGCAGACTTTGTGCTTTTACTGTAGGACCAATGGCTTTGAAGTTTACTGTAGCTTTAATAGTTTGTAATCCACTAGCTCTATCCATTTCTACTAAATTGGCATGGGAAGTGCATGAGTATTATCTATCCAGCCACCCAGATGTTCTGATGATGAGAAGTGATCTTTTATCTGTCATTAAAATCATCTTTTGTCAGCAGAAGTGCTTCATTCCAGCTTTTAGGGTTTATTTCTTATTTTCTTTGTTGGGTCAGTTTGCCTCTATCAAAGCATATGATCTGTAATCCACACTTTTCCTTGACTGTCTTAAGCACGTTTTGAATGTAAATTATGTAGAGCTTAGTCGTATTCGTTCAGCATTTTAAGCAATAATCCCCAGAACACTGATTTACAAAACGTGGCTCAGCCAATCATAATCAAAGACCAGACGTGATTTGTAATGCAGTATTATACCATAGCACACGAAGATCAGTGTTCCTGCACCTTTTGGCCTTGAAATTGCAATTTTTAATTCTATTATATTTACAGGGTTTCCATGACAGTGTAAGACATGTTTTATGTATTATATGTATTTCTACCTCATTACTCTTGTTAATGGGTTTGTTTTATTATTTTTTGCAATTATTTTTATTTAGGAAGTTCACAATTAAGGCGTTAATAGTGTGATTATTAGGGCCCTCGAGGAATTGCGGTTTCTTCAAAGTGAATCACATTTTTGAGGGCCTAAACATGCTCGTAAACTCTCAAAACTTTGCACGCGCATCAGAACTGGTGAAAATTTACGTCTGATATGGGTTTCAGAATTGGGTGTGGCAAAATGGCTCGATAGCGCCACCTATAAAATTTAAATGAAGCACCTCTCCCGCTATGTTTCACAAATGTGTACAAAATTCGTACCAATACCTACAAAAAAGTCTCTTGGAGCGAAGTCCTAAACGCAACAGGAAGTCAGCCATTTTGAATTTCCCCTACAATTTTTGTGCAGTTTTTGCCATTTTCAGGCCTCATACTTTAATGAACTCCTCTTACAGTTTTAATCGGATCATCTTCAAATTTGGTTAGTGTAATCTAAAGGCCTTTGCGACGCTGAAATGTGAAGATCTTGAGTTTTCGTTGTAGGGCGTGTCCTTGGAGGCCTGACAAATTTCTATGTTTCGCCATGAAGCAGGAAGTTATAACAGGTATACGTCTGATCTACCCCAAACTTCACATGTTTGATAAGAGTCCTGGCCTGAAGACAGCTACATGCCAAACCAATGTTCAGTTATAGTCATAGCGCCACCAGCTGGCAGCAGGAAGTTTGGCACATGTAACTGACTTTGAAATATTCCTATATTTCTCACTTTAGTTTCATATTGCCCACGGTTCACTGTTTTCTTGAGGCCACTGGGTGGCGGTGGCTCCGGGTGCGAGGGCCTTTTCAATGCTGCTTGCAGCTTTAATTATTATTATTTTCAGTTTAATACATTAAAAATATTTAACGCAATTAAAGCCGCATCCATTTTTTTCCTAGCAGAAAAGTGAAAAAAAAAAAACCCCCGAAGTGAATTCGGTACTGGCGCACGCAGGGAAGCAGCTTTCTGTGAACACAGGCGTTCCACACGTCAGACACCAGCCTCTACGACTGCCGCTGGCGAAAACCTCGTGTGCCTTGATAACAAACACGTTATAGTCTTGACATCATCGAATTGCTGTCAGAGTTGTCCGTGACTTCTCTTATAAAACAGCAATATTCTTCAGTTTAAACGTCTAAAGTCCAAGAATACAAAACAGATATTTAATGGCAAACAGTTTGAGTATTAGCCGTTAGGCTGTCGCTTCATTAAGTACTAATTAAGTCTCTACCACTACTGTAAATGCTGAAATTACATCACATCCTTCTGAGGCTAAAAACAGCATCCAGCATCTCAGAGGAAAGTTATTTAGTTAGTGTGCTTATAAGAAATATCATGGTGTGTCTTTATGTGCCAGGTGTAGTTTCAGTGCGACAGAAAGCAGCTCTGAAACATGAGCACACAGAGCTCATATAACCTGTGCTGATTATCACTGACGTGAAGAATAAAGAGCTTGATCACATTAATGCTAAATACAGCTTCATGGCTGCTTAATGTTTATAGCCCATACATTTTCTCCATTTACTGGCCATTAGCAGGTGTGAGTTTTGTGTCTGTCTACAAGATTCAAAGAGGAAATTGGATTGTTTTTTTTTTTCTATGTTGAGCTTATCGACACACGGTCTGTTCCTGGCATTCACACTCCTTGAAACGTAATCATTTAACAATAGACATAAATGCCTTAACAGTACTTGCCAAGCCAGTTTGGCATCCTCTTTTACAACATTTTACTTTCACATTGATGCTAGGAAACGAGATGTTCAGGAGTTCGGGACGTTGTCTATCCAAAATATCCAAGTTACTGAGAAACCAGCGATAATAAGAGTGAAGGGAGAGCGTTGTGAAGGCAAACACACATCAGGAGGTCAGGTATATCTGATTCTTTCACAATCATGCCAGAGAATCGTCTGTTAAAGGACTGTTAAACTGCTAACCAAGCTTTAACATATTTGAACAAGATATTGTAAAATCTGAAGAAAGAAGCGTGCGCAAATTTTTTTTTATCATGATAATGAGAAAATAATGTTTACTTGAAAAGAAATCACAATGAACTGAATTAGTAGCTTGAGTTAACAAAGATGCCATCTAGATTCTTATTCTTAACGGTTTACACTTTGAATATATTATAAAGTGTCAGCAGAAGAAAATGAGAAGGATATTTGCTATTTGTGTTTGTCTGGATCAGCCCGAGCACGGCCGTGATGAAGCTGGATCTGAGCTGCAGTGTTTGGGTCCTGGCCGTCGGTTTGCTGCCGTTGGTCCAAATTACTGCCGGATCCATTTTGGGTGCAGCTGTTAATATCGAACTGCTTGATCAGGACAGATCCCAGCCGGTGAGACCCATCACAACTACAATCGCAATACAGCTTTCTTTGTTCGGTGCTTTAAGAGACATCTTTCCCATGTGTCATGATTTAAAGCCTCTGATTCAGGCCTCATTTATTTCCTCTCTTTATTGTTCATTATAGAATGTAGGTGAACTGCCATCTGTATCGTCTTTGATAATACTGTGTTTGTTTTAATGATGTGAGGGTAGACATTATCAAGCATGTTACTAACTTTAAAAGCACTGTGTGATAAAGCCTATGAAAATTCAGTTAGAACTTAAGTTTTATACAAGTTAAATGAATAGGAAGTCACAATATTTTCTCAGAGCAACACAACTGTATAACAAAATGAATACGTGTTTTTGAGCAAATCGATGTTGTTTGAACATAAACAATTTGTTTAATTCCTGAATGAATCAGCCTTTTGAACTACTGGATTGAATTAATGGCTCAGTCCTTACAATAGTGAGTACCACAACCATTTAAACAAATTCTTATCTGGCGACTGTGAGCTCCACATCTCTGTGCTGCAGGTCAGGGCTCATTACAGCGTGGTGTCCAGTTTGCCCTGTCCGTCCCTGGATGAGCTGTGTAACGGAGGAGACTGTGTGGATCAGCTCAGCTCCTCTCCTCTGACAGGGGCTTTACCTTCACCAGGCTGGTGTCTTCATGAGTGGCAGAAAAACATTCCTAAACACCACACGTCTGCTCTTCAGCTTGGGTGAGTGTTTGCAGTCAAAAACCTGTGCAGTGACTGAAATCTCATACTGCGTTCACTGCACCTCCCTTTAGATCCGATAGAGCCGTGCCACTATATTCAAGAGCAGATCTGTCTGTCAGAGCCGACACTAACCGTGTTAACCAGCCTCCGTTTGTGGCTCTTCCCCCTCCAGTCAGGTGAACAGCGCTTCAGAGGCCCAGAAATACTTACAGAAAACATACTGCATGTCTGAAACTTGTGCATTGCTTTGTATCAGGCTACAAGCTGCTTGTCCTCAGCAAATCCCGGTGAATGTGATGGATTTGGATGGAGATGAGATTCGCTGTCGTTATAAGAAGACTGACCTTGGTGAATTTCTGCAGCTTAATGAAGTCAGCCATGTTTACTCTACCTATAAGTATTTCAATCAGTTAGTTACATGCATTTTTTTCAGTACATTCAATATTTAATTAGCAAATGATTATATTGTTTCTTCCAAAAATGTGTGTGTTTAACCCTGAAAGGAGACGTGTACACTGCTGTATGAAGGTGGAGCGCATTTGGGTCAATATTCAGTACAGATCATGGTGGAGGATTTTCCTCCATCTCTGAAGAACCAGATTCGCAGCGAGGCTTTCTCCACTGTATCGGTGCATCTCCTAATAACAGGTTAGCATTTCATCTCGATATTCACAATGTTTATTTTTAAAGCTTCAAACAAGAATAATACTGGAATTAATACTGGAATACTAGAATAAGTTCACTATAGGTGAAACTGCATCAAATATACGCTGTACCAGTCATATATTTCTTAATAGGTAGTAACATAATAACATTTAGTAACAAAGTAATAGAGGTATGAAATAATTCCTATGCTTTCAAAACACAACTGAAGTATATGAATTATGTAGAGATAATGTTAAAACAAATCAAATCAGAATTATCTTAGAATTGTAGATTATTTTGTCTCAACATTCTTCATCCAACAGTACTGAAGATGTTCCTATGTTTGCTGGACACTTGCATTTGAGTCTTAAGATCACATTTTTTCTTTATTGCTAACACACTATAACTGATTCATTTGGCCCGATTTCACAAACCATTCATTCAGTTCTCGAAAAAGGGCACATTTCTCAAATCTTTTAACACATTTTCACACACATTCAAATTTGTTTTCTGCAAAACAAAAAAAACGCCCTCATTTTCCACAGGTTTAACCATGTTCTCAATCAGAAATCACAAGCACACAATATAATTAACTTAAGCTTTGAAGTATGAACTCAAATAGCTAACATTTATTCATGTGTGAACATTAAGAAAACTGATGACACCAGTCAGAATCTCAGGATGATATTAACTGGAGAACAGGGGGATTCATGAAAATCATCTTAAGACATAAGTTAAGACATTTCTTAAGATAAATTCCATGAAGTTCGTAAGAATGTTCTTAAGTGGAATTCTTGGAAAATTCTTAAGTTCTCAAATATGCTCTTAAGAACATCTTGATTTTTTCTTAAGAAGAAACTGACAGTCTTTATCTGGCTGAAGACGCAGTGATAAACTCACACTTCAAAGATGGTCTTTTTGCGCTTCCTGCAGATTACACTAATAATCATAATAAGCGTGCACACTATTTTCGTCACGACCAGCTTGACTGGCGCTCAGCTTTGTGTTTTTGAACAGTTACTTTTAAAGAGCCTGTCTCAAGCTGTAGCGATCTTTCATTCATTTTTGTGCTCTCTGCCGAGTGAACGCTTCCGGTAAATCGTGCACATCACTACTATAGTCCTACTATGTTTTATATGCAGCTAGTGTTGTTTTAATGCTTAAATATAACAATTCATTTGAAATAACCCAGTAAATTCATTAAATCATTCTTACTATTTTGGATTTAAGACAAGTCTGGGCCTAACTTTAAGAAGTTATTTACAATGATTTTTAAGAAGATTCTTTTCAAGAATTTGAATTCTTCTTAAGTTTTGTCTTAAGAACAATCTTAAGAAAAAAGATAAGAACATTCTTAAGAAGAATTTTTGTGAATACAAAATATTCTTAACTTTTTTCTTAAGTTAAAAAATAAGAAGAAAATGGCAGTTAAGAAAACTTTTCTTCTTAAGAATGTTTTGTCAATCCGGCCCCAGATGATTAAGTGCTTTGGAAAATGAATCTGAGTGCTGGGAGACAAAGAGGAAGAGGAGGGGAAATAAAAATGAAGGCGACAGGGTCAAAGGTCATTTGTTCCTGATGAAATACAAAGCACTATAGCTGACCATGTTCTTGTGCAGGAATGAGCATGAGGGAAGCTGTCCTACTGGCTCATATTCAGGGTTTTTATACTAATTACACATACAGTATAATTACAGTACACACTTTAGATGAGAGAAATTTCACTATTCTATGTACAGTAAATACTGTAGCACATTGTACACCTGCAAGCTCATAACTGTTGGACTGATTTATGGCTAAGTACTTTTTACATGTACTGTATTTTTGCAGGATGACTGTCTAGGGGAGGTAGAGAGTCTTGTCAGAAGACTAATAAACTGCTCTAGTATGGCAAATAAAGTCATTACCAACACTGTAATGCAATCTGGCAGAGGCTACTGAATTTAATAGGCATTATACTGTGTTGTGTTGCATACCGAGTTCATATTCAGTTTGTTTGTATTTGAGCTTATCTTTTCTAGTGATTTTTTTATCAGTAGTGTATTGAAAATAAACCTTCGCTGTATCTGCACTCCTGTATTTATGTTATACTGTAATAGACATTGACTTGCAAAATGATTCCTGATTCCCAAACGGAGATTTTTTGTAACAGTGTTTTGAATGGATCTCACTGGTGTTCTCTAGGCAGTGAAGTAGTCTGTGTATTTGTAAGTTTTGTGTATCATGAGACTTAAGTGAGATTAAATATGAGACTAAATGCATAAACGTAAAATAGAAGAGAGTTAGATTCATATATTTACACACACAAAAAGATAGATAAGATAGGACTGTATGCAGTTTTACAATGTGTAATGTTCAATTGCAGTTGAAAGCGGAGCCGGCTGCTCAGTCGTGCCGGAGTTCACAGGTGTCAGTCCAGCAGGAGGCGCTGTGATCCACGTACTACCCTTTGAGGAGGTCCATGTCAACATTACAGTGGACTCAAGAGTACAGAGGTAAGCTGACAGCACAGGACAGTTATATTTGGACAATTATGTTTGAGTTTTGTACTGTTTCATGGATCGTTCACCCAGCTGTTCAACAGTTGTTCCT